AAAGAAAGAAAGAAAGAAAGAAAGAAAGAAAGAAAGAAAGAAAGAAAAGAAAGCATCACTGCATTTCAGTCTGGGTGACAGAGTGAGACCCTACCTCAATAGTTAATTAATTAATTAATTAATTCAGAAGTCCAGATTAACTGCTGTGCTGCTATAATTCCAAGCAGAGAACAAATCCCCCAAGCAGTATTCTCAAAAGAACATGGCCAGCACAGCACACCTGAACCAACCAGCTTCAGATGATGAGATCATCTGAACTCAGCATGACCTGAAGTCTGACTTTTAGTTCTTCCCCTTTATTGAAAACTAATTCAGAAACATGGCCAATGAATATCTAAAATTGTATTTAGAATCATTTATAATCATATCCAAATATCTCTCAAATGAAGCAGACTGCACAAGCCATTAAAAAAAAAATCACACATTTCTATCTGAAATTTTAAAAATCACATATTTCAATTTGAAATAAAAAGAACCATGCAGCCCAGAATTGTTAGAAATTTTGGCCCATGTAAGTCAGATTTAGGACTAACCACTCTATTGACCAATAAGCCACCTCATACACACTCAAGGGCTAAAGTTGCAATCTATATTTGCCAGAAAATTAAATAGTGTCTGCCAGGCACGGTGGCTCACATCTGCAATCTCAGCACTTTGGGAGGCCAGGGCAGATTGCTTTAGCTCAGGACTTTGAAACCAGCCTGGGCAACATGGCAAGACCCTGTCTCTAAAAAATACAAAAATTAGCTGGATATGGTGGTGTGTGTCTATAGTCCCAGGTGCTTGGGGGGCTGAATTGGGAGGATGGCTTGAGCCCCAGGATTGAGGCTGCAGTGAGCCAAGATTGTGCCAGTGTACTCCAGGCTAGGTGACAAACTGACATCTTGTCTCAAAATAAAAAAAGCCTTAAAATATAAAATTAAGCAGCATCTCCATGGGTGCTCATCAAGACAGACCAACATCGTGTGCAAGGAGAAAAATTATACGGCCTCATCTGTTATACAGTCAAGAAGACAATCATATTACGTCTTTCCAAATAATGTACAAGTGACAGAATAACTGGCTATAAGGCCAACATATTAATTACTGAGCTTTTAAGAAATGCTCACTATAATGGGGAAGCAGAACATAGGCCCAGTAGAAATACTGATACACACCTGCAGGCACACTCAAATAAGACAAAAAAGAGACCTAAATAACAAGCTGGTGCTGCACAATGAAGAAAAATACTAGCGCCAGATGGAACAGGTACATTTTGAAGTGATAGATTGTCTACCGAAAGACCAACAGCACTCCTGCAGACCCCCTTTGCTCTCCTTCAGGATTCTATTAATGGAGGGTCTTACAGTATGAAAACATCAACCATACCAGCTGATTCAAAGTATCCCAAGGCCTCCTGAGCAGGCCCATGGAACATAAGTCTTCCTGAGGCCAATAAGGTGAGGCTATCAAACAACTTGAAGATGGAATATCGAGGCTGATGAATGGAGAAGATGATTGTTCGTCCCTGCTTAGACATCCTAAGTTAAAAGTGAGACAATAATGAGTCATTAAATATCTGAAACTTGTACTTCTTGGTAAAATATTCCTGCCTTTAGATTGTTTGCTCCAAGTTTAACTTGACTTTCTCTTACCAACTTTTCATCTCATATTATTTACCTATAGTTAGGAAACCTAAATTCATTTTATTAAAACAGAATAGGAATTTTCAAAGCATGTTGCATTGACAATCTAGAATCAACTAGAATGGTTATTAATAATGCAGATTCCACGACAGTCTTCCCAGACATTGAATTAGAATCTCTGGGAGGGGGTCTATGAAATCCATTTTTTTTTTTTTTAGATACAGAGTCTCACTCTGTTGCTCAGGCTGAAGTGCAGTAGCACAATCTTGGCTCACTGCAACCTGCACCTCCTGAGTTCAAGCAATTCTCCTGCCTCAGCCTCCGAAGTAGCTGTGACTACAGGCACGTGCCACCACGCGCAGCTAATTTTTTGTATTTTTAATAGAGATGGGGTTTCACCATATTGCCAGGATGGTCTCAACCTCCTGAAACCTTGGGATCTGCCCGCCTCAGCCTCCCAAAGTGCTGGGATTACAGGAGTGAGACACCACACCCAGCCAGGAATCCACATTTTTAAGAAGCAACCCAGATAATCTGTAAGCATGTTCAAGTTTGAAAACTAGTTATGACTACATGTTAAAACAATGGTCATTTATCCCATTCTGACTTATCATTTAGGTCTTCTGGCTGTTTAGAAATTGGTTTCAACTCTTCTGCTCTAATATTGCAATTAACATTACTAAGTACTTACTATGTCTTTGAAAAATACTTTAGGGATAACTTCATTTCAATTTTCACAATACTGTTGTGAGGCAGTTCCACTATTATTATTACCCTCATTTTACAAATATGTCTTAAAGGATCAAGCAACTGGCCTAGGGATCACAGTTAGTAAGGGGCAAGGCTGGGATTTAATCTCTGGTCTAATTTCATGGCCAAAATAGTGCTGAAGTACCTTTCCACAGGAGTTATGACTTACAGGTTGATATGGTTTGGCTGTGTGCCCACCCAAATCTCATCTTCAATTGTAATAATTCCCACATGTCAAGGGTGGGGCCAGGTGGAGATAATTGAATCATGGGGGCAGTTCCATATACTATTTGCTGGTAGTGAAAAAGTTTCACTAAATCTGATAGTTTTATAAATGGGAGTTCCCCTGAACAAGCTCTCCTGCCTCCTGCCATGTACAACATGGCTTTGCTTCTTGTTTGCCTTACGCCTTAATTGTGAGGTCTCCTCAGCCACATGGAACTGTGAGTCCATGAAACCTCTTTCCTTATAAATAACCCAGTGTCAGGTATGTCTTTATTAGCAGTGTGAGAATAGACTAATACAGTAAATTGGCACTGCTGCTGCAAGATACCCAAAAATCTGGAAGCCACTATGAAACTGGGTAACAGGCAGAGGTTGGAACAGTTTGGAGGGCTCAAAAGAAGACAGGAATATGTGGGAAAGTCTGAAACTTCCTGGAGACTTACTGAATGGCTTTAACCAAAATGTTGATAGTGATATGGACAATGAAATCCAGGTTGAGGTGGTCTCAGATGGAGATGAGGCACTTGTTGGGAACTGGAATAAAGGTGACTCTTGCTATGTTTTAGCAAAGAGGCTGGTGGCATTTTTCCCCTGCCCTAGAGATTTGTGGTACTAAGAACTTGAGAGAAATGATTTAGGGCATCTGGCAGAAGAAATTTCTAAGCAACAAAGCATTCAAGATGTGACTTGGGTGCTGTTAAAAATATTCAGTTTTATTCATTCACAAAGAAATGGTTTGAAATTGTAACTTATGTTTAAAAATGAAGCAGAGCAAAAAACTTCAGAAAACTTGCAGCCTTATGATGCAATAAAAAAGAAAAACCCATTTTCTGAGGAGAAATTCAAGCCTGCTACAGAAATTTGCATAAGTAATAGGGAGCCAAATGTTAATCACCAAGACAATGGGGGAAATGTCTCCAAAGCATGACACAGGTCTTCAAAGCAGCCCCTCCCATCACAGGCCCAGAGGTATAGGGGAAAAAAATGGTTTCCTGGGCCAGGCCCAGGGCCTTGCTGCTTTGTGCAGTCTCGGGACTTGGTGCTCAATGCCCCAGCCATGGTTAAAGGGGACCAACAGAGAGTTCAGGCCATTGTTTCACAGAGTGCAAGCCCCAAGCCTTGGCAGCTTCCATGTGGTATTAGGCCTGCCCTTCACCTAGATTTCAGAGGATGTATGGAAATGCCTGGATCTCCAGGCAGAAGTCTATTTCAGGTGAGGAGCCCTCAGGGAGAATCTCTGCTAGGGCAGTGCAGACAGTAAATGTGGGGTGGGAACCCCCACACAGGGTCCCCACTGGGGCACTGCCTAGTGGAGTGGTAAGAAGAGGGCCACCATCCTTCAGACTCCAGAATCCACCAACAGCTTGTACTGTGCGCCTGAAAAAGCCACAGACACTTAGTGCCAGCTTGTGAAAGCAGCCAGGCAAGGGGCTGTACCCCACAAAGCCACAGGCTGGAGCTGCCCAAGGCCCTGGGAGCCTACCTCTTGCATCAGCATGACTTGTATGTGAGATATGGAGTCAAAGGAGACAACTTCAGAGCTTTAAGATTTGACTGCCCCTTTGGATTTCTGACTTGCATGGGGCCTGTAGCCCCTTCATTCTGGCCAATTTCTCCCATTTGGTACAGGCGTATTTACCCAATGCCTGTGCTCCTATTGTATCTAGGAAGTTATTAACTTGCTTTTGATTTTACAGGCTCAAAGGTGTAAGGAACTTGCCTTGTTTCCGATGAGACTTTAGACTGTGAACTTTTGAGTTAATGCTGAAATGAGTTAAGACTTTGGGGGACTGTTGAGAAGGCATGATTGGTTTTGAAATGTCAGGGCATGAGATTTGGGAGGAACCAGGGGTGCAATCATATGTATCTCCAACCAAATCTCACCTTGAATTGTAATAATATTTGTAATAATTATAATAACAATATACAGGTAGAAGGAAAAAAAGGCCAAAATCACTGTTTAAAACAGTTACTATTCAAAATATTTTATGAGAAGAGTCACTTAAATTTCTTTTTTTTTTTTTGAGACAGAGTCTTGCTCTGTCACCAGGCTGGAGTGTAGTGGTGCAATATTGGCTCACTGCAATCTCCGCCTCCCAGCTTCAAGTGATTTTCCTGCCTCAGCCTTCTGAGTAGCTGGGACTATAGGCATGAACTACCACACCAATCTAATTTTTATATTTTTAGTAGAGACAGAGTTTTGCCATGTTGGTCAGGATGGTCTCAATCTCTTGACCTCGTGATCCACCCATCTTGGCCTCCCAAAGTGCTGGGATTACAGGCATGAGCCACCACACCTGGCCTAGAAGAGTCACTTCAATTTTAACATTTTCTAAGAACCTACTGTACACCAGCAGTGTATACAAGGACATTCTGCCTCAAAGATCAGATCAGGCTAGTAGGTCAACAATTTCAATACAATATGAAACAGGAGAAGCTAAGGATTCCTCGTAAGCAAATAGGAGACTCACAACCCAGTCTGAAGATTATATAAATAGAGTTAAAAAGACCCAACAGGAGTAAGCTAAGAAGAAAAAAAAAGCACTCAAGGTGGAAGAATAAGATGAACAAAGTGTGAAACAAAAAAGTCTACTCTGAAAACTACAACATGTTCAGTATCATACAGAAGAAAGAGAGAAAAAGTGTGTGTGTGTGTGTGTGTGTGTGTGTGTGTGTATTTGTTGGTGTTGAGTAAAGAAGCTAAAGAGGCAGTGGCAAAATAGGCCCAGCACCCCCATCCTTACCATGGTCATCCTTCCCTACACTCTTACCTGCTTTCATTTTCTTGATAACACTTTTCACATTTGTTAATTGACTTTGCCTCCAACAGAAGAGGAAGAAATTGTTTTGATCTTTTCTGAATCCCCTGCACCAAGAAATACCTGGGATATAGTAGTGATGAGATATTAACTAAGGAATAATATTCCCATAGCATTTACCTTTTCAGGAGCAAAAGGACAGCATTTGCTGTGCTCGCGTCTAAGCCAGTTGTGGGCTCATCCAAGAACAAGATGGAAGGATCAGTAATAAGCTCCATTCCAATACTAGTCCTTTTCCTCTCTCCTCCAGACACACCACGGATAAACTGAGTTCCAACCTAAATCACAAATATTATCATTGTCAATGATAACAAGCAGTCACTATAGTTTGGTGAGCTACTAACATGTGTCAGTCCTGTAAGAAACACTTTATCTCATTAAGCTCCTTTACTCTGAACAGCAAATAAGTGGATACCTGGAAGAAAAAGTAGATTTCTCTTTTATCAGATGAGTAAACTTAGGCTTGGGTCAGAGGTGGTCAGTAACTAAGCCTGTTATAAAGCACCTGCTTGGGTGGGGCGTCGCCTCGCCTGGGAAGCACAAGGGGTGGGGGAACTCCCTTCTCTAGCCAAGGGAAGCTGTGAGAGACTGTGCCATGACAAACAATGCATTCTGGCTCAGATACTATGCTTTCCCCATGGTCTTCACAACCCACAGACCAGGAGATTCCCTCGGGTGCCTACACTACCAGGGCCCTGGGTTTCAAGCATAAAACTGGGCGGCTGTTTGGACAGACACTGAGCTAGCTGTGGCAGTATTTTTCATACCCCAGTGGTACCTGGAACATCAGTGAGACAGAACTGCTCACTCCCTTGGAAAGGTGGCTGAAGCCAGGGAACAAAGTGATCTAGCCTAGCTCAGAGAATCCCATTCCCACGGAGCCCAACAAGCTAAGATCCACTGGCTTGAAATTGTCTCTGCCAGCACAACAGTCTGAAGTTGACCTGGAACGTTCAAGCTTGGTGGGGAAAGGGGTGTCCACCACGACTGAGGCTTGAGTAGGCAGTTTTTTCCTCACTGTGTAAAGCCACCAGGAAGTTCGAGCTGGGCAGAGCCCACCACAGTTCAGCAAAGCTGCTATAGCCATACTGCCTCTCTAGATTCCTCCTCTCTGGGCAAGGCGTCTCTGAAAGAAAGGCAGCAGCCCCAATCAGGAGCTTACAGATAAAACTCCCTTCTCTCTGGGACAAAGCATTTGGGGGAAGGGGTGCCTGGGAACACAGCTTCAGCAGATTTGAACGTTCCTGCCTGCTGGCTCTGAAGAGAGCAGTGGATCTCCCACCACAATACTCAAGCTCTGATAGGGGACAGACTGCCTCCTCAAGTGGATCCCTGGCCACCATGCCTCCTGACGGGGAGACACCTCCCTGGAGGGGTCTACAGACACCTCATACAGGAGAACTCTGGCTAGCATCTGGTGGGTACCCATCTGGGACAAAGCTTCCAGAGGAAGAAACAGGCAGCAATCTTTGCTGTTCTGCAGCCTCTGCTGGTGATACCCAGGCAAACAGGGTCTGGAGTGGACCTCCAACAAACACAGACCTGCAGCAGAGGGGCCTATTACAAGGAGAAGTAACAAGAAAAGAATAGCATCAACATCAACAAAAAAGACGTCCACAGACAGAAACCTCATCCGAAGGTCACAAACATCAAAGACCAAAGGTAGACAAATCCACAAAGATGAGGAATAACCAGCATTAAAAGGCTGCAAATTCCAAAAACCAGAACTTCTCTACTCCTCCTCCAAAGGATCACAACTCCTCCCCAGCAAGGGAACAAAACTGGAATGAGAATGAGTTTGACAAACTGACAGAAGTAGGCTTCAGAAGGTGGGTAATAACAAACTCCTCTGAACTAAATAAGCATGTTCCAACCCAATGCAAGGAAGCTAAGAACATTGAAAATCGGTTAGAGTAATTGCTAACTAGAATAACCAGTTTAGAGAAGAACATAAATAACCTAATGGAGGTAAAACACACAGCACAAGAACATTGTGAAGCATACATAAGTATCAATAGCGAAACTGATCAAGCAAAAGAAAGAATATCAGAGATTGAAGATCAACTTAATGAAATAATGCATGAAGAGAAGATTAGAAAAAAAAGAATGGAATTGGAGAGAGAAATGGAGGGAGATCCAAGATGGCTGAGCACTAGCAGCTCGGGACTGTAGCTCCCACTGAAAGCGCAGAGAAAGAGAGGACGCCACACTTTCAGATCAATTTTTGTTGCTCACGCACCAGGAGATTCCCAGCGGAGGAGCCCCACTTCTTGCCAGCGCGGCTCTTGAGGCCGGTGAGGCGGTTTTGCTGCTGCCTTCGTGCGGAGGTTCTCGGTGCAGAGTCAGAAAAGCACCATCAATCTTAAAGCCACTGTTTTGGCCCACACAGTGGGTTGCTCAGATTTTAGTGCCGGGAATCAACAAGTTGGACGTCCGTTCAGAAATCCAACTATAAAGACGGTAATTATAAAGACCACAGATGGATAAATTTATAACAAAGGGAAGAAACCAGCCTAAAAAGGCTGAGAATACCCAAACTCAGAACGCCTCTCCCTCTACAGGGGATCACAGTTCCTCATCAGCAACAGAACAAGGCCTGATGGAGAAAGACTGTGTTCCATTAGCAGAAGCAGGCTTTAAAAAGTGGATGATAAGAAACTTCTGGGAATTAAAAGAACTTGTTCTAACCCAATGCAAAGAAACTAAGAACTTTGAAAAAAGGTTTGACGAAATGTTAACAATAACACACAACTTAGAGAGGAACATAAATGAATTAATGGAGCTGAAAAACACAACACGAGAACTTCGCGAACTATGCACGTTTTAACAGCTGAATTGATCAAGCAGAAGAAAAGATATCAGAGGTCGAAGACCAACTTAATGAAATAAAACAAAAAGACAAGATTAGAGAAAAAAGAATAAAAAAGAACGAGCAAAGTCTCCAAGAAATATGGGACTATGTGAAAAGACCTAATCTACGTTTGATAGGTGTACCTGAATGTCATGAAGAGAATCAATCCAAGCTGGAAAATACGCTTCAGGATATTATTCAGGAAAACTTTCCCAACCTAGCAAGGCAGGACAATATTCAACTCCAGGTAATACAGAGAACACCACAAAGATATTCCTCAAGAAGACCAACCTCAAGGCACATAATCGCCAGATTCACCAGGGTTGAAACGAAAGAGAAAATACTAAGGGCAGCCAGAAAGAAAGGTCAGGTTACCCATAAAGGGAAACCTATCAGACTCACAGCAGATCTCTCAGCAGAAACCCTACAAGACAGAAGAGAGTGGGGGCCAATATTCAACATCCTTAAAGAAAAGAACTTTCAACCCAGAATTTTACATCCAGCCAAACTAAGCTTCATAAGCGAAGGAAAAATAAAATCTTTTGTGAACAAGCAAGCATTCAGAGATTTCATCACCACCAGGCCTGCTTTACAAGAGCTTCTGAAAGAACCAACTACAAATAGAAAGGAACAACCAGTATCAGCCTTTCTAAAAAATACCAAAAAATAAAGAACATCAATATAATTAAGAAATTGCATCAACTAAAGGGCAAAACAACCAGCCAACATTAAATGACAGTGTCAAACTCACATATATTGTCATTAATTCAAAATTTAAATCGACTAAATCCCCCAATCCAAAGACACAGACAGGCAAAAAAAGCCAAGACCCATTGGTATGCTACATCCAGATCCATCTCACATGCAAGGATATACAAAGACTCAAAACAAAGGGATGGAGAAAAATTTACCAACCAAATGGAGAGTAAAAATAAATAAATAGAAAGCAGGAGTTGCAATTTTTGCTGATAAAATACACATTAAAGCAACAAAGATCAAAAGAATCAAAGAAGGACATTACATAATGATAAAAGGATCAATGTAACAAGAAGAGCTAAAGATCCTAAATATATACGCACCCAATACAGGAATACCCAGATATATAAGACTTATAAGGATACTTGGACTCCCACACAATAAAAGTGGGAGACTTCAACATCAATATTAGACATCAATGAGACAGAAAGTTAACATCAATATTCAGGACTTGAACTCAGATCTGGAACAAGTAGACTTAATTAACATTTATAGAACTCTCCACTTAAATACACAAAATATACACTCTTATCAGTAGTACATCACACCTATTTACAGGTTTAAGTGAAATATTGGTTGGCTGCTTGTTAATTATTTTCTTCCCTCATTTTTTTTATGTCTTTATTATTAAACACAATTACAGGCATACCCATTTTTAGACTGCACTCTAGCCCGGGCAATAAAGCAACACCCCTGTTCTCTCTCCCTCTTCCTCTTTCTTTTTCTTCCTTTCCTTCATTCTTTTTTTTTATTCTTTCTCTTTCTTTCTTTCTCTAAAAAAAAAAAAAAAAAAAAAAAAGAATGAAAAGAAACAAACAAAGCCTCCAAGAAATATGGGACTATGTGAAAAGACTAAAGCTACATTTGATGGGTGTACCTGAAAGTGATGAGGAGAATGGAACGAAGTCAGAAAACACTCTTCAGGATATTATCCAGGAGAATTCCCCCAACCTAGCAAGACAGGTCAACATTCAAATTCATGAAATACAGATAATACCACAAAGATACTTCTTGAGAAGAGCAACCCCAAGACATATAATCATCATATTAGCCAAGGTTGAAATGAAGGAAAAAATGTTAAGGGCAGCCAGAGAGGAAAGTCAGGTTACTCACAAAGGAAAACCTATCAGACTAACAATGGTCTCTATAGAAACCCTACAAGTCAGAAGAGAGTGGGGGCCAATATTCAACTTTCTGAAGGAAAAAAAATTTCAACCCAGAATTTCATATCCAGCCAAACTAAGTTTCATAAGCAAAGAAGAAATAAAATCCTTTACAGACAAGCAAATGCTGAGAGATTTTGTCACCACCAGGCCTGCCTTACAAGAGCTCCTGACAGACGCACTAAATATAAAAAGGAAAAATCAGTACCAGCCACTGCAAAAACATACCAAATTATAAAGACCATCAACACTATGAAGAAACTGCATCAACTAATGGTCAAAATAACCAGCTAGCAACAATGACAGGATAAAATTCACACATAACAATATTAACCTTAAATGTAAATGGGCTAAATGCCCCAATTAAAAGACACAGGTTGGCAGATTGGATAGTCAAGACCCATAGGTATGCTGTATACAGGAGACCCATCTCACATGCAAAGACACACATAGGGTCAAAATAAAGGGATAGAGGAATATTTACCAAGCAAAAGGAAAGAAAAAAAACAGGAGTTTCAATCCTAGTCTCTGATAAAGCAGACTTTAAGCCAACAAAGATCAAAAAACACAAAGAAGGGCATTACATAATGGTAAAAAGATAAATGCAACAAGAAGAACTAACTATCCTAAATATATATGCACCCAATAATACAGGAGCACCCAGATCCATAAAACAAGTTCTTAGAGACCTACAAGGAGACCTAGACTCCCACGTAATAATAGTGGGACACTTTAATTCCCCACTGTCAATATTAGACAGATCAAAGAGACAGAAAATTAACAAATATATTCAGGACTTGAACTCAGCTCTGGACCAAGTGGATCTAATATACAGAACTCTCCACCCCAAATCAACAGAATATACATTCTTCTCAGCACATCACACTTATTTTTAAGTTGACCACAAAATTGGAAGTAAAACACTTATCAACAAATGCAAAATTATGATAATCATAACAAACAGTCTCTCAGACCACAGTATAATCAAATTAGAATTCAGGATCAAGAAACTCACTTCAAAACCACACAACTACATGGAAACTGAACAACCTGCTCCTGAATGACTACCTGGTAAATAATGAAATTAAGACTGAAATAAATAAGTTCTTTGAAACCAATGAGAACAAAGATACAATGTACCAGAATATCTGGGACACAGCTAAAGCAGTGTCTAGAGGGAAATTTATAGTACTACATGCCTACAGAAGAAAGCGGGAAGGATTTAAAATTGATACCCTAACATCACAATTAAAAGAACTAGAGAAGCAAGAGTAAACAAATTCGAAAGCTAGCAGAATACAAGAAATAACTAAGATCAGAGCAGAACTGAAGGTGACGGAGACACAAAAAACCCTTCAAAAAAAAAATCAGTGAATCCAGGAGCTGGTTTCTTGAAAAGATTAACAAAATCGATAGACTACTAACTAGACTAATAAATAAGAAAAGAGAGAATAATCAAATAGACACAATATAAAATGATAAAGGGGATATCACTGATCTACACAGAAATACAAACTACCATCAGAGAACACTGGTCATCAGAGATAGTGGTCTATTGATTTTGTTAATATGTACACCTCTACACAAATAAACTAGAACATATAGAAGAAATGGATAAATTCCTGGACATATACATCCTCCCAAGACTAAACCAAGAAGAAGTCAAATCCCTGAATAGGCCAATAACAAGTTCTGAAGTGAAGGCAGTAATTAATAGCCTACCAACCAAAAAAAGCTCAGGACCAGATGGATTCACAGCCAAATTTTACCAGAGGTAGAAAAAGGACCTGGTACCATTCCTTCTGAAACTATTCCAAACAACAGAAAAAAAAGAGGGATGCCTCCCTAACTCATTGTATAAAGCCAGCATCATCCTGATACCAAAACCTGATAGAGACATAACAAAAAAAGAAAATTTCAGGCCAATATCCCTGATGGGTATCGATACAAAAATCTTCAATAAAATACTGGCAAATAGAATCCAGGAGCACATCAAAAAGCTTATCCACCACCATCAAGTCGGCTTCATCCCTGGGATGCAAGGCTGGTTCAACATATGCAAACCAAAAAACATAATCCACCACATAAACAGAACCAAAGACAAAAACCACATGATTATCTCAATAGATACAGAAAAGGCCTTCGATAAAATTCAACACCTTTTCATGGTAAAAACTCTCAATAAACTAAGTATTGATGGAACAAATCTCAAAATAATAAGAGCTATTTACAACAAACCAACAGCCAATATCACACTGAATGGGCAAAAGCTGGAAGCATTCCCTTTGAAAACTGGCACAAGACAAGGACGCCCCCTCTCACCGCTCCTATTCAACATATTGGAAGTTCTGGCCAGGGCAATCTAGGTTATATGCTCCTTATGAGAATCTAATGCCTGATAATATGTCACTGGTTTCCCATCACCTGCAAATGGCGTCATCTAGTTGGAGGAAAACAAGCTCAGGGGGCTCCCACTGATTACATATTATAATGAGTTATATAATTATTTCATTATATAGTACAGTGAAATAATAATAGAAATAAAGTGTACAATAAATGTAAGGCACTTGAATTATCCCAAAACCATCCCCTACCCTGGTCCATGGAGAAACTGTCTTCCACTAAACTGGTCCCTGATGCCAAAAAAGTTGGGGACTGCTGATAGAGAGCAAGAATCCTTGGACTCTCATCACTTATCAATCCCACAAATATACCTCAAAAGCAATGGAATGAAGTCCCTTGGAGGAAGAGTAGCTAAAAGACAGAGAAAAAGAGGAAGAAAAAAAGTCAGTGCGGATACAAAATGGGATGTGACTTAAACCATGAGTAGGGGAGGAGCATAAGGAAAGGCCAGGTGATGAATACTTTCTCATACAACACCACATTGCCTCTCTTCAGGTGGAGAATTCAACCACTGTGGAGATTTTTTTTTCCAGGTTAATTTCCACATTCATATTACGTAACAAGCCGCTTTTCATACTGTTATGGGAAGCAACAACTTTTGACCATGCACATTATAAGGAACTTCTAAATCAGAGTCATTTTATCCACACAGGTGAGGTCCTATTTATGCTGGTCATGATGCTTTCAGTTTTTTCCACATTACCTTGGAATCTGCCACTTTATCCAGACCTAACTCTTGAATGACTCTGTTAATCCGTTCGTTTTTTTCACGATTCGACATAGTTGTTGGAAGCCGAAGAGCTGCTGAGAACTGTAAATTTTCTCTCACCGTCAGAGTGCCCATCACAACATCATCCTTAAGGCAAATAGCATTTTGATGAGACATAATGAGTCTTTTCTAAGACCATGACTGTTTAGCATATGTAACTTAATCCACAAAAATAACATAACAAAGGTAAAGTTCTAGTTAATGATGGACCTGCAATTCTACAAATGGCTGTAACTACATAGAAGTCTACAAAGCCTGATATAATCATTTTACCCCTTATCTGTACACCCAAATAGAATGCAAGTAATTATATTAATTACCAGCAGACATTTCCAGACTGTTTCATACAAGGATTTGCCAAGATATCTTTCTAAGCTAGGGGAAAAAAAGGTGAAGGAAAGGCAAAAAAGGATAACAGCAGTATCTTTTAGAAATGATACAAAAACTAGAATTGGTATCATTGTCCTTACAAGGGCCATATTCCAGATTCTCCCTGCCTTTTCACATAAGTGTCTATGGGAAACTAACAAAAGCTGCTGTAAAAAAAAGTCAGTTCAATGATCATGTCACATAATCTATCGGAAGCACACTGAACTATCAGCCAAAGCTCTTACCCACATAGAAACTGAGGAAACAAAAAAATGCAAACCCACTAATACTTACTTGTACCACGTAACCTGAATTACATTTGAAATTGGCAGGTCTCAGCGCTCCATTTATCAGAACATCTCCAGATAATCCACTTGGATCTTTCCTTGCAGCTAAGACATCTAATAACCTGTAAGAGGACATACATGTTGTGGGTCTAATAATCTATAAGAGAATATATATGTTGTGGAGTTTTTTCTCTCCAGCACAGGGATATATCATACACATTGTGGGGGTTTTTCCCTCCAACACAGGGATATATCTCATGGCTACTTTGAATCCAAATTCTGCTTTAGTTAGAAAATTAACTGGTTGGCCAGGCACAATGGCTCACACTTGTAATCCCAGCACTTTTGGGAGGCCAAGGCGGTGGGATCGCCTGAGGTCAGGAGATGGAGACCATCCTGGCCAACATGGTGAAACCCCGTCTCTACTAAAAATACAAAAAATTAGCTCAGTGTGGTGGCACGTGCCTGTAATCCCAGCTACTTGGGAGACTGAGGCAGGAGAATCGCTCGAACCAGGAAGTCAGAGGTTGCAGTGAACTGAGATCATGCCACTGCACTCCAGCCTGGCTATAGAGCAAGACTCATCTCAAATAAAAATAGAAAAAAAATTAACTGGTCAAGAAATTCTGTGGTTTAACTAGAATTATATTTTTTTAAATTCTCATCTTTCCCTTTCCATCAAACATTACAATAAAGCCCCAAAACATAAAGCAAGACACCATTGGCTGATCAAGCACAGATCTCCCAAAGAGACCTTCCAGTTGTCTGACCTTGGAGGTAGCAACACAGGCAATGTGCTCTTTTATCTAAGACTCATGCCTTTACTTACAACTTCTGCTCCCTTTCCCTACTTTCAATATTCTCCCATTCTTTTTCCTCCTCATTAGCTGATAACATGGTCAACTGCTGCATGTCAATCACTTTATAAAGACCTATTAGTAAAGCTAACCTAATAAGACTACTGATCCTTGGGACAGAACCACACAAATACAGTTATCCACAGCACCTAGAACCAGACCTGATATGCACAGCAAATGCTCAATAGATACCCGCTCACACAAAACAGTGGCTTTTAAAAGCACATTCAAAGTGCACAGAAATAAAGCTTACTTATACTCTCTTATACTCACGAAGATTTGCCTCCACCTGTGGGTCCCAGGATGGCATTGAGGCCAGGTTTCATGATTCCACTGTAAACACAAAAACAGACTGATTTACTATTCCACTTTAAATCAGGTTCTATTAATTTAGGGTCTGCATTGAATATACTCAATGAAGGCTTATGAAATTACAAACAGAAAACAAGCACAAACCAGCTCTTAAAGAAAACAAAAAAACAGGCCAGGCATACTGGCTCAGGCCTATAATCCCAGCACTTTGGGAGACCAAAGCAGAAGGACTGCCTGAGGCCAGGAGTTCGAGACCAGCCTGGGCAACATAGGGAGATACTGTCTCTACTTTAAAAAAAAAAGATTGTTGATTTGATGTGTAATAGACAACGGATGTTAATCACTGGTCAAGTCTTACAAGAAAAATGGCATAAATTCTTTCCACTTATTCTCTAACCCTTTTATATTTTCTGGAAAATAACATTCAACATTCCTTGAAATAACTAACAGATTCTTGTGAAGCATCTCTTACTGCTCTTAACACAGTGTGAAATATATGCCGTGTTCTGAGTACTGCTTGATGATCAGTACTGTATCTTCAAGTGGTCTCATTTGCTACCTAGTCAAATTCTACATGTTAATAAGTCACTGATTTGTGGAATACAGATAGACGTATTCTCACTGCTAAATCTAATTAGCCCAAGAAACATTTAAGTAGAAATCCAGAGGCTAGGAAAAATCACTTCAGGATAAAAAGAAAAAATTACCCAAAGGAAATAAAAGGTCCTAATCCATTTAGAAAAGTAAAAGATATACCCTCAAGATATATCATTTTCTTCCTTTTTAAGAGTCAGAAAAATACACTGGAAAATTCCAAGTTTAGAAGCAGGAGGCATCACTTTTGTAAGGGCACCCTTTAAGAATATGAAGACATGGTACAGACAGAAAGCATGTTTCAAACAAAATGGGTGTCTGAGGGTAGTGGATATTCAGATAGAGTAGAATGGTGGGAAAATGTATGGCAGTGTTGACTGTGCTGAGACCCAAGAAGACAGCAAATAGTTTGATTTTATCCTAAAGATAGCAAGTAGAATGATAAGTAGAAGGAACTAGAGAAAGGAGAATTTGGTTAGGCACGGTGGCTCATGCTTGTAATCCCAGCACTTCGGGAGGTTGAGGTGGGGGAATCACTTGAGGTCAGGAGTTCCTAGACTAGCCTGGCCAAGATGGCGAAACCCCATCTCTACAAAAAATACAAAAACTTGCCAGGCGTGGTGGAGGTGCCTGTAATCCCAGCTACTTGGGAGGCTGAGGCAGGAGAATCACTTGAACCCAGGAAGTGGAAGTTACAGTGAGCCAAGATCAGGCCACTGCACTCCAGCCTGGGCAACAGAGCGAGACACCATATCAAAAAAAAAAAAAAAAAAAGAAAGGAGAATTCAGGGTGCGGCCTGGCTTGGTCCTTTCAAAATACCAGTGTCTATGCCCAGTCTCTCCTTAGAATTGGCAAGTAGGTTACAATGTATTCTACAGAGAAAGTAATATCTACTCCAGATGGAAGGTCAAAGTCAAAGACTATTTCATTCACAAATAATGATTAGCACAGAGGCCAGCCCTATGATCCTATACAATTATGAGTGATAAGCAACTGCACCACAGTGCTTAAACCCAAGACGCCCTGAACATTTACTGCCTGTTGTCCTTGAACTGTCACAATTGTACAATGGCTGGCAGGTTGCAGGGTGAAATGTAGCTTGCACTTTGCTCTTTTAACTGGGGTATCTCTCACCAAAACACTGGACAAAGACAATGGGAATTAGGTAAACCAAGAGCAAGATATAACAGAAAAATCTCTTATTCTTTTGGTGGCCTTTCCCCTCTAATTTGTAAAACAACACACTAATGATTGAGCAAATTTTCAAGGTGCATTTATGTATAGCTCTTGATGCATATTCTTTATAAATAGCTTCCTAATAACTGCCTCTAAAATTAGCATAGACTTGTTACTCACTAAGGCTTCATTGTCAGAAAAGCTTTCCAGGTTTCTAAAATACCTACTCAAAGAAAGACCCAGAGATCCTGAATGATTAACCAAAACCTCAACATGAATGTTCTAAGACAAAGAACTTGGCTTACTACTTTGGCATGACACTGTGACATTACAGAAAACAACAGTATCCAGTCATAAATGCCAAGAGTTTCCACTGGGAGCAGTGGCTAATTCCAACTCCATCCACTTGACACAATGATCAAGTGTTTACTATGTACATGCAAGATATTCTTCTAGGGCATGGGAGGGTTGAGAACAAAACAAACAAAAAACAAAGTCCAAGGACTTGAGGAGTTTACATTCTAGTTCAGGGACCAGCATTTTTCTTATACAAAGGGTTGTTGGAACAGGGCTGTGCTCATTCGCTTACATATTACCTAGAGCTGCTTTCATGCTACACCAGAATTGAGTAGCTGCAACACAGATGCGTGGCCCCATAAAGCTGAAAATATTTATTAATACTATCTGGGTCCTTTATGAAAAGAGCCTGCTGACTCCTGTTCTAGTCTATGGTCTATATTTCACTGACCTGCCCACTCCATCCTCCACCCTTTTATCATCCCTGAAACTGTATTTCCCACCCTTATTTACTACTTTACAGCATTTGCATGCAGGTTGGTGTCCTTCACTACACAGTAAAATCTGTCAACATGAACAGCGTGCCACAGTCAGCTCTCATACACTCCTGCCCATGACATACAGCACAGTGGTTATAGACCACTGAACAATAAACCTGGAACACAGGGAATCAAATTCACCCCCAAATTTCCTGTCACTTATATCACATTCTAGTGGATAATAATCAATCCCTTGGTCTTGACTCCAATTTAGGGTCTGGGCTCCTACTGAGTCTTCTAATCTTTTTATCACAGTGAAAGTGTGTTCTGAATCTCCCATTAGGCTTTAAGGCTTCTCTGAACAGCGGATTTATCTGTGTCTCTAGCATCTCACACAATGTCCTGCACTAGCAGGCATTCAAACTTTGTTGCATAAATAAATTTCTGCATTGTTATAAATGGGAATTTACTTCTAAAAAGACAAAAATGTTTTCACTTTTTAAAAAGTTGAGAGGAGATAGCTGGAGGGTGGGGAGATTGTTTATATTATGGAATATGAAAATCAGCAAGTACATCCTGAAGGTACATTCTTAAGGTAGTGGCCGATTTTCGTATTCTATAATATAAACAATCTCGCCACCCTCTCTTGTCAATTAGAGCTAGATTTTTCACTTTTTGAGATTTTACAAACATGGAAATATAGACAGAATCTTGAGGGTTTAGATTGGAATTGGGGACGTTAATGAGAAGTCATAGGTTTTAATCCATATATAAAGACAGCTATAGAAAGATAGAGATGGAAATTCCCAGGGTGCTACGGGAATGGTCACCCACTGCTCCTCCAGCTCCTCTCCCACCTGCTTTAGCCAGATCTGTATGTGCTTACACACAGGAGGTAGTTTTTTAAAAAAGTTATACATGTATGTGTATGCACTTGTGTGTAAACATATACGTATAACATATATTCTCTAGGTCTCACTCCACTGAGAAAGCCTAGAAGCAACGACACAGATCTCCCATGGGATGACTCCTGCTCTCACACCCTCCTGCCTGTAATCCCAGCACTTTGGGAGGCTGAGGCAGGCGGATCACAAGGTCAAGAGATGGAGACCATCCTGGCCAACATGGTGAAAACCCATCTCTACTAAAATACAAAAATTAGCTGGGCGTGGTGGCACCAGCCTATAGTCCCAGCTGCTTGGGAGGTTGAGGCAGGAGAATTGCTTGAACCCAGGAGGCGGAGATTGCAGTCAGCCAAGATCGTGCCACTGCACTCCAGCCTGGTGCCTGGCGAAGGAGCGAGACTCTGTCTCAAAATAAATAAATACATAATACATAAATACATAAATTTGAAACCATTTAAAATGTTATTAAACATTTTCCAAGAGTATAATGAATTTCTCTGAAGATAACAGGACATCCACATATCTATGGGAATGAATAATTTTTTTCATAACATCTTCAGTGTTGATGAGGGAAAGCTCAAATGCTGGGTATTCTGACAAACTAAGCATAAGAGAAGGATTTTCCTAAGGCAGAAGAATCACAACTTTTTGAATTCTCATGGTCAGATTTTATTTTATCTTCTTGCCCACACAGGTTATAGTGACTTAGTTCTAGAAGTAAAATTACAAAATGTCTAGAAGTGAAATTACAAAATGTCATCAGCGTTTTTGGAATGCAGTTAATTTACCTATTTGAATGGTGATGGTGCTATCAAACACAAATCAAAAGTAAGATAAGTGACAGCAGCCCTTCCCCTACCCCCAGAAACTGTATTGAGAGTTGGAGCCAGCAGATAGGAGAAAGACTGGAAATACTGCAGCCAAAAAAGGTATGATCTTTCTCAGGGATACTTAAACAGGAAATGTGAGTAAGCAAAAACACCAACCCTTGATGTCCTTTCAACTAAAACATGAAAGAATTGTAAGACCTAATTGCATTTTTATAAGCCTAGTAAGTAACACAGTTCTATTCACACAGTAAGGATGAACTCATCTATTGCTATAATGCATGCCATTTGACCATTAAAAAAAAAAAAAAATGTGTGAAGCCTTGAGCAGATGAGACTTCTGGTGCATCAAGTTACTAATCTACTAACTTTAAAAGATAAGATAAGCAAGATAAATGTACCCTCAGAAAGTACATTTTTGTTTTTCTTTTGAGACAGGATCTCACTTTGCCACCCATTTGTACAGTGGGACAATTATATACAGCCCACTTCAGCCTCAATCTCCCAGATTCAAGCCACACTCCTGCCTCAGCATCCTGAGTAGCTGGGACTACAGGGGCATACCACCACACCTGGCTAATTTTTTTTATTTTTAGTAGAGACAACATCTCTCTATCTTGCCCACGCCTGTGTCAAAGTCCTGGGTTGAGGCAATCCTCCTGCCTTGGCCTCCCCAAAGAGGTAAGAGCATGAGCCACCATGACCAGCCTGCATTTTCAATATATCCAACCTGCACAAATTCAAGTCATTTGTTACCTTCTACCTCTCTCTGCAAAAAAACCTGATGTAACCAACATTTGCTTGATTATTACTTTACAAAGAGATGTCAGCTTTTGAAAACAGTTTAATTTATCCTGGCACGCAGTAAAAGATAAAAGCTTTGCATCACCTTTATTCTTTTACTCAGGTTTTCTTAACCTGTACAAGAACGCAAAAAGAAGGTAGGCATGACAGCAGGTGTTGCTGCGTACAGAAAGTTCTCATCCTGCCCAGCTCCTGGCATCAGCCCAGACAAGTCTCAGATCCCCATGTTTCTCTCCCACTTGGCCCCAAAATTTTCTCCCGACCTTGTCATTTCCTAGTCCTCCAAAAGGATTGACTGCTATGAACAGAAAAGACCACAGTCCTGTACAAAACGTCAAGAACACATAAGAACATCTGATTCCATAAAGGTTTGTAGCAACACCTGGCCAAAGGGCTCGTCTATAACCACTCCTCCATTTGCCTTGTCCAGGAGTAATTATTTCCCCCATTAAATGCACAAACAAAACATATAGGCCATGCTATCTGAGCAAACCCAAATTCACTCCCCACACCACAGAGGTGAGGAATTGGAGTCAATTCTCTAGAACTCAGAAAAACAGTAATAACCCTAATGGCTAACATCTGTGAAGTAACAGAGACATCTGGAAGGGAGTAGCTTCTATAGAAATGCTCACTTCCCTCCTTGCTCTACCACCTACTTCACCACCCCATGATAAATTCAATGCTGGATGAAAAGAATGAAAGTTATAGTTACTAGGTGCTTTAGGGAATTAAATGCATTGATTTGGATCCTAAATTCTCCTCACTTTGAACTTCAACTGCATAACTTAAGCTAAACTGTAGTTGTCTTATATTTAAATATTTTCTGCCAGTTTGTATATTAGAGGGAAACATTAAATAAAATTGTTAGAGATTATAAACTACTAAAAATGGACCACCCATTTAAAACAAGTCTATTTGAAAAATAAAGTACTTTCACATTATACTGTCATTTCAGCCTCTTTGCCTTTAGAACATAAGGGAACATTTCACAGATTAGAAATGAAAGCTCAGAGATTACAACTATATGCCCATGATCAAAAAGCATATACAGCCAGGCCTCTTCCACCAAATCTCGAGTCTCACCCAGGAAAAATTAAATAACACATTGACTTAGTTTCTCAAACAAAAGTTGATTACATGTGGTACTTTTTTGTTTAGACAGAATCTTGCTCTCTGGCCAGGCTGGAGTACAGGGGCACAATCCTGGCTCACTACAACCTCCAACTCCCCGTTCAAGTGATTCTCCTGCCTCAGCCTCCTGAGTAGCTGGGATCACAGGCATGCGCCACCACACCCAGCTATTTTTTTGTATTTTTAGTAGAGACAGGGTTTCACCATGTTGGCCAGGATGGTCTCGATCTCCTGACCTTGGGATCTGCCCACCTCGGCCTCCTAAAGTGCTAGGATTACAGGTGTGAACCACCACACCCAGCCACATGTGATACATTTTTTTAAAAGCCTGGCAGTTACTTTGAGAGTTAAACATATACTTAATATGTGACCGAATTATTTCACTCCTAGTTTAGCCAAAACAAATGAAAGCATGCGTCTGCATATCTGTGTAAAGACTTGTACAAAAATGTTCATAGCCACTTTCTTAGAAATAGGCAAAACCTGTGAGGTTCACTGTAGGTAAATTGAAAAGCTATATTTTTAAAAGTTCATGTACATACTTGATATTCGACAGTATTTCTTTCTGAACTGGTTTTCGACCAGGTAGAAAGCCATTCTTCACTTTTACTCGATAGCAGATGTTATGAAAACTTAACACCGCTCCTTCAGCAAATGCCTTCAGATCGTTGGAAGTTGTCGAGGGGAAGCCATTGGTGTTTCCTTGTGACATTGGGATAAAAACTTCGATATTACTAGAAGACATCTGGAGAATTTTTGTCTTTTTGTCTTTCTGTAGGCAAAAAAGCAATCATAAGTTGACAGTCCAGATAAATGAGATTGCAAACACTAGATAACAATACACTTAAAACAGTCCATTTTCAAATGTGCAGCAATAAGTAGCTTGATTTCCAATGAACAGCCTATACCATTGTGATAAGAACATCCTAAAAACCTAAATGCGAAGACAGGCACAACTTTGAATGCATAAACTACAATTAAATGTCGAATATATCCCTAATAAGTAAATGGGCCCCTAATAAGTAAATAGGAAGGGTATGAAAATTACTAAAAACTGACAAAGCTGGAAAAGGATGGGTGAGGGTTAGACTTGTCTGGGTTGAAAAGCATATTACGATGTTAGTCAAGTGCTGGGACAGGCTACATGATCATCATCAGAACCTCTGTATTTTTTTTTTTTTTTTTTCTTTTGACAGTCTTGCTCTGTTAGCCAGGCTGGAGTACAATGGCATGATCTCAGCTCACTGCAACCTCCACCTCCCGGGCTCAAGCAATTCGCCTGTCTCAGCCTCCTGAGTAGCTGAGATTACAGGTGTATGCCACCATGCCGAGCTAATTTTTTGTATTTTTAGTAGAGACAGGGTTTCACCAGGTTGGCCAGGCTGGTCTTGAACTCCCGTCTCAGCCTCGCAATGTACAAGGATTATAGGCATAAGCCACTGTGCCCAGCCTATATTTTATTTTCAAGACCAGCCTGGCTAACACGGTGAAATCCCGTCTCTACTAAAAATACAAAAATTAGCCAAGTGTGGTAGCAGACACCTGTAATCCCAGCTACTGGGGAGGCTGAGGCAGGAGAATGGCTTGAGCCCAGGAGGCAGAGGTTGCGGTGAACGGAGATCGCCACTGCACTCCAGCCTGGGTGATAGAGTGAGACTCCATCTCAAGAAAAAAAAGAAGAAAAAAGAACCTCTGTATTTTTTTTAACTGGGGAGTTTTAGCATCATTACTATCAAATGGGGCTTAGCCAAGCAGTCCAAGACAGGAGAAATTTCTCTGAATTTATAGCTCCAGACTTTACACTGCTAGTTGTTATGTACCTTCAATCAGCAAAGAAAGTAAACTCCAAAACTGATTGCAATTACATAATCATTTCCTTAATGAACAAACATATTTAAATTCTAGGAAGATTTAAACTTAGGTATGAAAATCATTAAGTAAATCAAATCAAAAGTTAAGCAAAAAATTTAAAACAGAAAAAGAATGTTAAATATGTAAATAAAATGTGAAATATTTCATTCAACAAATTACAAAAGGCCTCAAAAAGATTTATTAGAGTAAGACCTTAAGACGAGCTTAATGGCTTGTGAAACAGGTTGGAAATGTTAACTTCAATAAATGTAGTTTTAATTTTTAAAAGTCAAAGTAATGCATGACGAACTTTCTCTCCGCCTGTGACAGAGTAGCTGTTCCAAACAGACAGTCCTTCTAAGCACAACAACAAATGTAGACAAAAAGTGTAAGAAGGAACCGTTGAAGAGTTCTGTCTGATAAAAGCAACCAAAGTGGCCAGGACTTAAGGAACCAAAATCCTGGAATGGAGGGACTGAAGCACTGAAATAAACTCTGCATTCTGCGTGCCCTTTCCTCTTGAGATAGGTATTTGCACATGAAAATTGCACACACCTGGGGCACAGCTCAGAACAACTAAGCAAAAGGAAGCTGCCAGAAGGAATGAGTCTGTTTACTGAAGCCTCTACTATTTCTGAGCAAATAGTTCAGCAGTCTCTCAGCACTAAGGAGACAAAATTTTGCTGGAGTTGAGGGCCTAGCAAAAAGGAGCCCTGGAAAGAGATCCCCGAAGCATTATCCTCTGGGAATGTGAGCAAACCAAAAAACCAGTCTCTGCTCAATCAAGGCAATCTGCTCAGGCTGCTAGAAGAAAGTTAAAGCCACTCTATAAGAAGGTGTCATGTCAATTTTCAATCAAAAATTGCCAGGCATTGGGAATCTCTCTGAATCTGCTGTGATTCTGAGGGCTGCCTGATTCACGAATCGTTAAGTTTAAAAATAATGAAAAAAAATTTTTTAAATTGCAAGGTATGCCAAAAAAAAGAACCTGATGTTCAAGAAGTGAGAAAATGGAAACCGATCCACAGGTAATGTGGATTGGAGTGAACAGACATTGACATTAAAACAAAAGATTGATGTGTTTAAGAAAATTAAAAGAAGGACTATCACCAAAGAACCAAGATCTACAAAAGCAAGTGAATATTAAGAATTCAATAGATGAGTTTAACAGCAGCTTTCCGAATTATGACACAAAGTAGGAAAGAGAACTTAGTGAACTGGAAGACTGGTATACAGAAAACATTCAGGATGAAGATTATGAATGATGAAAATCATTATCATGAAAGAGGGAAAAATCTCCTTATGAAAAAAATGAGAACTACATAAAAGAGTACAACAAACAAATGGGATAAGATGAAAAAGGTCTGTCATACACATTCCTGGAGACCTGAAAGAGGAGGGAAAATGGAGCAAAACATGTACTTAGACAGAATCAGTATTTGAAGAAATACTGGCCAGTATTTTCCAAAACTGACAAAGATGTTAAGCTGCAGATTGAAGAAAACCTAGCAACACCACAGAGGATAAATACAAGAAAACCAAATCTAGGCTTATCATAATAAAACTGCCAAAAACCAAAGTCATCTCCTAATAACTGTTTCCGTAATCCAGAAACATACCATATTTACAAGTCTATTCATTTGGAGCCTGGAAAAGTAGAAACCTTTTAAAGACTGACATCCAGCAAATTCAAGGTACACGCATGGGTTTTAATCTGTGAACACAATGAATGGTAATCATTAGCCAAAATTCTGTTCTCTGGAAGCAGTGAAAGAGAAGACACAAATACAGTCAGCAGCCCTGTCCCTAAGTTCTGTATCTGAGGATTCAACCAATCGAAAATGGAAAATATTTAAAAATAGGGCATGGTGGTTCATGCCTGTAATCCCAGCACTTTGGGAGGTAGAGACAGGAAGATCACTTGAATGCAGGAGTTTGAGATCAGCCTGTACAACATGGTGAAATCCTATCTCTATCAAAAATACAAAAAATTAGCTGGGTATGGTGGTGCCCACCCATGGTCTCAGCTACTTGGAAGGCTGAGGCAGGAGGATCGCTTGAGCCCAGGAGGCGGACATTGCAGTGAGTCAAGATTGTGCCACTGCACTCCAGCCTGGGTGGCAAAGCAAGACCCCATCTCAAAAAAAAAAAAAAAGAAAAAAAAATATATATATATATATTTAAAAATAAATATAAATGGATGGTTGCATTGGTACAAAACATGTACAAAATTTTTTTTCATCATTATTTCCTAAACAATACAGTATCACAACTATTTAACATTTACATTGTATTAGGTATTATAAGTAACATAGAGATGATTTAAAGTATATGGGACAATGCATGTACATTATATGCAAATACTATGCCATTTTATATCAGGAACTTGAGTATATGTGGATTTGGGTGTCCGAGGGGAGTCTTGGAACCAATTCCCCATGGATCTCTAGATATAACTGTAATGTATGTAATGTATGGACTTTACACTTTTAAAAAAGTTTTAAACCATCTCCTCATGTCTTCAGAAACCAAAATACACCAATTCCAACACCAGCAGTCACTTCTCCTACTGCCATTCCCATTTGATGTTCATTCAGCCACTGAGGACCCTTTCTAACCTTCTCTCAAGACTTCTTAAAAGTATCAAATAATTTATTGCTTGAATTTAAATAGGTCACTGACTCAAGATGGAAATTTTAAAGAGATTTTGTGAGGCTTCCACGAACAAAAGGCAACAACTAGAGCTAAAGGACCCAAAAAAAGAGTGATCACCCATGCCCATACAAGACAGGGGGTAAGACTTATAAATTCAATCACAGTCTTGGAAGTGTGTGCAGAGAAAGAGTTTGCCTTTCTCGTGATAAGATTAAATGTATAATTCACATTAGCCAAGAATGGCTTCATTCCTGGCTGGGACTCTAACAATCTTCCTTGGGGTGATGCAGGGCCTTAGTCATTCATGAGTCACAAACCAAGTGATGAGTCACAAACCAAGTGATTAGACAGGTATAACCAAGGCACCATCCAGCTGAAGCACGTTACACCAAAAAGAAAGGAGAAAACTAAACCAAACTTCAATTCTTTTTTTTTTGGAGATGAAGTCTTGCCCTGTCACCCAGGCTGGCATGATTTCAGCTCACTGTGACCTCCGCCTCCCGGGTTCAAGCAGTTCTCCTGCCTCAGCCTCGTAAGTAGCTAGGACTTGCACACCACCACACCCAGCTAATTTTTTTGTATTTTAGTACAGATGGGGTTTCACCATGTTGCCCAGGCTAGTCTCAAACTTCTGAGCTCAGGCAATCCACCCACCTCAGCCTAGCAAAGTGCTAGGATTACAGGCATGGGCCACCGCGCCCAGTGCCCAAACTTTAATTCTAACACGAATATGAATCAATACACTTACTCTAAGAAAAAAATATAGTAAGGACTAAATAAAGAAAATATAACAACTCAGCACCAGACTCATCTCAAAGTGCCCCATCTCTAATTAATATAGTATATTGGGTCTAGGGAATTCTTTAAATGTAGCAAGTACCTTTAAGCAAACACCAGTCTTTTCCCTATGGTCAGAAGCTTTCTGGTCACGTGTGCTGCTCTCATTGAATTAGTATCACCTTTTTATATCAAGGAAAATACCCAATCACACAACTAGATGTCCCTACAACAAAAATCTACCTCCCACCTGCTGCTGTTTCCTTATTTGCAGACTACTTGCTAATGCTAATCCGTTTTTTTTTTTCTCTTTCTGTGTCCTAGACACCCTGCAAAGATCTTAAGTAAAATGAAGCCTCCAAATGGCTTTACACCTTGCCTTATCCCAGCCTATTCATGTTATCTGGCCTGATTATGTGTCTTAGCTAACTCCAAAAGCCCTTTCAAACAAGACAGAACAGCTTTGCATATGAGGATTCCCCAGCTTTC